GCATGGGCTGATTTGCCCCGGGCCCCGCACCCTGCTCAGGTCACCTCTGCCTGGAAACACACTTGGCGTTATTTCTTCTGCACATTTGTAACTTTAGTTTTTGATATCAGTGTTGCCTTTAATTCTTCAGGAGATCTCTCAACTTTATTTATTTAAATATCAAGATATAATCTAAATGTTTCTTTAAAGTGAACCAATGTATTTTAAGTAACTCAAGCACATAATGACAATTGATACAATTTAATAAAATTCTACAGTCCATTACCTTCAAAGATGACTTAATCCGAGGTTCTGGTTTCTGTCTGATAAGCTTGTTTTGAATAAGTAGTGACTGATCTGTACGAGTATCATAATTCCCATGTTCTGAATCATCTGTATATGTGTCTTTGTCTTTTCCTATATCTGAGGGAAAAACAAAATAAAAGATAGGCTTACTGGAGATTATTGTAGAGACATACTAGAAGTAATATTATAGGTCTGGATGAGATGGAACATTCCTTATAAGTACCTACCTTCCTGTACCTTTACTGATAATAGGCTTTTGATCTGAAGTTTTGTCAGGATTACCTCACAATGTAGATGTGGTTTCTTTTTATTACAAAACTTACCAAAATCTGGTCTACTACATTGGGTCAGTCCATGCAAAAAATCAGGATATTTAAAAAAAAGCTGCTTAAAAATTAAATTATTCAGATGACCTTGTGCATTTCCATAACAATACTTTGGACTTGAAACTTCCAATTTGGTACACACGTACATCATATATATATGTTTTTATAAGTTTGGCACTGAACTGGGCTGTATGGACTCTACTGTATAACTGCTACACAATGTTAGACATATTTAAAATTTTATACCTCCTTCCCCATCTGTAAAATGGGTATAATGTTACTGATTTTGTAATTAGTTTCTTCAATTGTTAAGGGATATTTAGCTCCTTCAACAACACATCAGTTGTAGTTAAAAACATCTGGCATGCTCTAGGAAGTGCTCAATTCTTTATTAGGCAGACAAGATTCTTTGGGTGACTGATATCTTTTATTAGACCAAGTAAATAGTTGGAGAACAATTCTTAAGCAAGCTTTCGGGTTCAAAAACCCTTCATCAGGCTAAAGAAGTTTCTTTATTATGATAATTCTTTATTAGGATCTCTTCCTAAGCATGCATATCTGATTACCCAGGACCCACATATCTTCAGGGCTAAGGACAGACATTCAGAAAGCTAGAGCCTGAATTAATTCAATCTTTGCAGGTTAGTTTAGCCTGCATAGGTTGAACCAATTTTCAAGTGAACAGACATTCACTTTTGACTCAGGAAATGCAGGCTCAGGCTAGAAGCAGGGGGAGGAGAGGTTAGAGTATGCCCCCAGCTGCAGAGAAGCTATGCTGGGGGGAGAGGAGGGGTGTGGCCAGCCCTGGTAGTAGCCTCAAGTGAACTGACCAGGGAGGGGGTTTAATTCCCTACTCCCTGTCCTACCAGAAGAGACCTGAGCCGGGGTCTGCCTGACACTCCCTCCTCACTGCTGCAGCAGCAGGGGAGGGGGCGTGGCCAAATGCCAGCCAGTGTGGCCCCCTGATGTAAAGGGGCCCCCTCCCTACCCTCTTCACCTAAGGGGACCATGTCAGCTGGCCTCTGGCCACACCCCTGTCCCTGCCGCTGTAGTGGTGATGGGGGAGGGACCCTGTGATGGTGTCCTGGGAGCTACACTGTGGGTGAAAGTGAGGTAGGCAGAGCTGCTGCAGACTGTGTGGGGCATCTGGTAAAGGGGGCAGGGAGGGGTCTTATTCCACTACACATGGAGTGATCAGAAGAGGTGGGTGGTCAGGGCTAGCAGACCCTGGCTGCTGTCCCCAGGGGGAAGAGGGGGAAGAGGGAGTGAAGGGGGGAATAAATCCCCTTCCTGCCCATTTTGCCTCAAGGGGCCATACTGGCCAGAATCTGGCTACACCCCTGCCCCTGCCCCTGCCACTGCCACTGCAGCAGTGAGCACCAGGGAGATCCCAGCTCAGGTTGGTGCTTGTGAGACAGGGAGTGGGGAATTAAACATCCTCCCTGGCCATTTTAGTTAAGGCTACTGCTAGGGCTGGCCACACCCCCTGCTGCTCCAGCAGCAATGCGGGGATATGCCTGACAGGGACTTCTCTGGCCCAGCCAGGCAGACCCTGTCTAGGGTTCCAGGGGGAGAGGTGAGGAATAAACCTCCTCCCTGCCCCCTTCACCTCAGGGAGCCATGCCAGCCAGCACCTGGCTGCTTCCCCACTCCTGCAGCAGCGAGGCAGGTGGGGGACCCTGGCACAGGTGGCTGCACCCCAGCCAGGGTCCATGCTCTGCTGGGACAGAGGGGAATAAACCTCTTCCCTGTCCCCTTTGCCCTAGGGAGCCAGCATCTGGCCATGCCTCCACCCCTGCTCCAGCTAGGGAGCAGAGGGGCAGGACCAGCCCTGCTCCACTAGAGAAGAGAGCATGGTCAAGCCCAGGGCTGCAGAGAATGCTGGGATACTGAGGGACTCTGTTTTAACTTAAACCAGGAAGGGGTCTGGGATAGAAGTTTCATAAAGTGGTTTGACCTCAATCAACTAAGTCTGATACTACATTCAACCAGGCTTATCTCAAACTGGTTTTGGCCATTTTGAAACTGGTTTATGTGCACTGAACTTATGTTATGTTACAGGTTTAAACTAGTTTCTGCTCACTTAAACTGGTTTATGTGCAACTTTTGTTCCTAGCCCTGAGAGCTAATACACTGAAGAGTGGAAGTCTTCCCTATAGCCTGATATGCCTTTCCCCATTATGCCCCTACTCTGTACACCCCAGAGGGGTAATATGAACACTATATAGCACCCAGATCACTTAAAGAATCATATATAACATCTCCTCCATTCACTTTATTATGACTGATTTCAATTCATGCATGTTATGAAAGCCCCACTTTCCCAAAATTTCTACCTTTAAATGAAAATGGAAAAAGTGTTCCCATGGAAACTGTAATGAAGCCATATTGCAAATAAAGAGACATTTTAAGACATGAAAGCTACTACCAAATATAATAAGCCAAGTTCTCATCTCAGCTTTCATATCAACATGGGAAATTCAGAGTAACTGGGAACAGCATTTAACCCAGTCATTCTAAACCATAAATATATGCCAAAAAACGAGTCATGGTTGCTGTGGGAACCATAATCTTGAATTTCCTGAATTCTGTATGCTTCAAAACCCAGCTGTAATAATATAGTATTTTCATGTAATTGTTCAATTGAGCAATTAAATTCTCCATAGCAAATATTACAAGAAAACAATTAGAATTAATTGGCAACCTACAAACTGTTAGATGCACTACTGAATAAGGTGCTTTATTCACAATATATTTACTGTATTTACTTGAATATAAGACAATCCTGATCATAAAATGACCCCTCCAATAAACAGATTCTATATATGGAAAATGTATAAATTTGCTAGAATTTTCCAGGTGCAGAATCTAATTATTGGAAGTTTGCCTTGAATTTGCCCCCCTCCTGCTGTTATAGCAGGGTAAAATAAATTGGGAGGGGGGCAGGTAGCTTGCTTGACCTCTGCCCCCAACTTCTTACCACGGCAGTTCCTTCCCTCTCCTTACTGCTAGAACCTGCTCTCCCTGAGCACATTAAAGTGCAAAGCAAATTTCAAAACACTGTCCTTGAAATAACATACTTGTAGTAGTTTGCGTATGGGCAGACCGCTATAGGTACCCATATACTATCCAGAATTGGTGCATTTTACCTTTTTTGAAACTAATGCAAATTTTAGCACAGGGAGGAACTCCATAAACAAACTTTTTGAGCAGCACTTTTGTATCTACTCATATGTAGTACAAACTATGCATGATACTAGTCCAAAGCTAAAAGACTCATGATCAAGGGTCCTGGTTTTCTATGCTGAAAAATTGCAAATTCTTTAAGAAATCCCAAATCTGCATTTTTCTCTAATTAAAATGAAATGCCACTAGATATATAAAAGTATCAGATGAACACAATGTTTTATTGATATATATTTATCATTTAAAGAATTTGAGAGCTTACCAGTGCCTCAATCATTATAATAAAAAAGGTCTAAATACCTATATATTTTGGCATTTGATTTTGTTTTTTTTATCATAGAAAATTGGAACTACCCCTGCCCCCTTCATTCACCAGGATGTGGGTCCAGCTTGAGCTGTCCCCTGCTACTGCTTTGTGTTGCTGAGCAGCCCTGATATAACGGTGATCTGCCCCTGCCCATGCCATTGCCCCTCACTCCTGACCCTGGACCTGCTGGTGCCTCTTAGTCCTGACCTCCAGCCCCCTGGTCCTGCCTTGCCCCTCACTCCCTAACACACAGTCTACCTTGCCCCAAGTCCTGCAGGAGGTGGCAGCTGCCATGGCTGGAGCAGAGCAGAGCCTGGCTCTCCCCACCACCCCTGCGTTGAGCAGCATGACCAGAGTGGAACCTGATCTTATATTCACATAGTATATAAGGAAACCTCATTAAATACATTGTCTATCATTACACTGCTCCCAAAAGTAGCCTCCCCACCCCACTCTGCTGAGGAAGCCCTGGGAGGAGGGCAGCAGGGCTGAGAGCCCCAAGCACTCATAAGGAAGCCCACATACACCCAGCCCTGCACACAAATCTCCGGGGTGGGGGGGATTTGTACCCCTGATGCATCCTTCCATGAAAGTGCACACAGTGGCAGGGAGCCATCCCCCTGCTGCAGGCTGGATGAGCCATTGGTTCCCTCCCACTCTTCCTGCATTCCTGCCCTGACCCCAGGCTCCACACATCACCTGGCTGGACAGCACCCCCAGCCCCAGCCCTGCCCTACTCCTTCCTTCCCTCACTGTTGGGGCCTCAGTCTGCTTCACCCCAAGACTTACCTGGAGGAAGCTGTGGGAGCTGCTCTCTATTCTGCCTGGCTGTCATGTACATCTGTGTGTGCACACATGCACAAGGCACCATCTGCCTCTGATTGCCCTCCTCCTGCTCCCCCCCAGCCCCAATCAGCCCCTTACCTACTTGCAAGGGGAAATGCATAGTTTCCCACATTTTTCTCCTTCAAAGGAGAAAGAAAATGTGTGTTTTCCTCCTTTAAAGTATTTTTCTCATTAAAAGGGGAAATTCTGTCTTCTTAAAAGGAGCAAGTCCTTCTTTTCCCACGGTGAGCAGAAAAACCAGATCCCTGCTCATGATTTACCATATAGTTCATTGGGTTTGCCTCAGCAGTCAACAGCATTTCAATCCATGGTGACTCCATAGTGCACCACTGCTTAGTATGTGGTGTACTCCAGTTACCCCCAACAAACACTCCATGTGCTAATTCGCCCCCACTCATGTCTGGGACTGGGTGTTCTTGTATTGAGTCTTGGGATCCTCCAAAAATTTATAT